ATCTTGCATTATGTCCGAATTATGGTATCCATAAGTAAGACACCTTATACATTCATATGTACATTTACATTTTTGCCTCTCAATTTTTTGTTATGTATATATATATATATATTTTAAGTAATATGTGGTTGTATACAAATCCAAGTGTCACCTCTCACTTAATGTAGAAATCTCTTTACAGAAAATGAATAACACCAGAGAAAATGGTTCTGAGTACCTGGTAGGCAAGTGCATGGGAATGTGCCCCAATGCAGAGATGCGGCTGTAAGTTGTGCTTATGGACGTTGAATGAGTTATCAAAGGAAAATTGTGCCATTCATGTACATCTTTGTTTTTTTCTTCTGCTTGGTTATTTTATGTATATACTTTGAAAGAAATATATATATAAATGTTTCAAGACTTTGGTAAAGATTGATTGATTGATTTTCTTTTTCTTTTTTTTCTTTTTTTTCTTTTTTTTCTTCTTCTTCTTCTTCTTCTTCTTCTTCTTCTTCTTCTTCTTCTTCATAACAGACGACAGAGAGAAAGGTTAATCCATCCGTTGGAGATGGCAGTCGGAGAGAATGGCCAAAGAACAAACGTAGCGCAGGCAAGGTTTATGGTCAAGGAGTATTCAAGATCAGCAGCAGGACATGAGATCAAAGCTTCAGACATCAGACCACAGCCTGTGCTAGTGAAGACACTAAGATATCTGCTTTCAAAGTAAGCCTTTCTCTTTATCTTTATTTTTTCCCCTCTTTCTGTCTCTCTTTTTAAATCCAGCTGTTATTCTGTGACTTTCTGCCAGGTATTTAGCTTTGAAAAATCAGTCACATTTTGCAGTTATTTTGTACTTTTTTCATTAGATATGTATGCCAAAGAAATGAGATTTATTTTGCCTTAAATATTTATTTTAATTCTTATTCTGAAATCAAGTAAGATGTATATTTAGCTTGGTAAGATGTGCGAATACTTTCAGTGATAGATAAAAGACATTGAGATGTAACTTGTATATTATGAATGAAATGATAGATGATAGAGTTTTACTTTATTTGGATAGTAAGTGATATAATAGCAATAAGAGCAACATTATTAAAGCTAATAGCACCACTAGTGATACTGGCAAGAGATTTTCCACTTTCTTTTAAATCCTTAATATTTTCTTTTATACAGTGCTTGTAATCATACCGATGTCCGCTGGGCCAAGGTTTATCAGTTTATAAGTGATCGTCTGCAGGCGATACAACAGGACATGTGCATTCAAAGCCTCTGCAATTTTCAGGCAGTTCGGATCCATCAGGCTGTTGTTAGATTTTTCCTATATGCACACTACAGGTGAGTGGAGATTATTTTCCTTGAGGATTGCAAGCCTGATGTATTTTTTATTGATAATATTTAAGGCATTGACTTTATCTTTATTTACTTCTTTATATTTTATTTATATATTTATTCATTCAAATACAGTTTATTTGTTACTAAAGTCATCATGAGTTGTGCACATATATGATATCTGTTTTTTCTCTCTTTTTTTATGTACAGGACCTGTGAACATGATTTGTCAGACTTTGATCCCTATTTAAACAAAACCCAGTTGATCAAAACCCTCACAATCATGATAAATATGTACAAGGATCTTGACCTGCAGAGAGATCCCAAAGAAGAAGTATCTTCCATATATAAAAATGCAAGAATAGAAGCTGAAGGGTTGTACATGTTAGTTCATTTTGGAGATACAAAGGCTCTTCAGCATTCACTTGAACTTCCAGAGTATACTAGGTAAGATTACTCTCCCAACAATTTTTTTTTCCTCTTTTAATTTATGTGTGGGACCTTTTTTTTCTCTGAACATTTGTTTGTTAGCATACTTGTTTTTATAAAACTATTGTGGATGTGTCACTTACTATATAGTTTAGTGATTTTTTAATAGATGTTTCATGTTGTCATAATATTGTGATATGAAGGTCACAGTGGTTTGAATTGTAAAAAATGTAGTGTAAGGAGTAAGATATACACTATTGGAGAACAAAAGTATAGTAAGAGCTTCTTTTCTTTATTATATATTTTAGGTCTTCAGAGCTAGTTATGTTGGTTCTGCAAATGAACTTGTCCTGGTTCATTGGCAATTATGTTCGAGTTCTTCGGCTAGCAGCACATTTACCACCAATATTCATATGTGCCTTTCATCCACATTTGACAGCAGTTCAAAGGTGAGTGTTTAATATAAGCTAATTAATAGTTTGTATATCTAACTACTTTTCATTGGTCACATAACCAGTTCCTGTGAACTGAAAAGTCTCCTAATCAGTACTGTTGAATGCAAGAAAAATGTCACCATATTTGCTATCTATATTGTTATATAATTCCATTCAACATTTATGTCAGGGAAATTCTTGTGAATTTTTAATGCCATTTCCTAATCAACAGAAAAGCATTGAAGGTGATGAGTCATGCCTACAGTAACAAGATGCTTGCCTATGATAAGGAAGACCTCACCAAAACCTTGATGTTTGCGCATCCCAAGGACCTAGTTGAAGTGTGCCAGCATTACAAGATAGAAGTAGCCGAGAATGGCATCAAGTTCAAGAAAGGGTCCTTTGATGAAGAAGCAGACTTGGTAAGCTTATTCCTTTTTTATATGTGGCATAAAATGAGCATTCCCACAACGAGGGTTATGTGGAAAAATCCCCCAAAGTGAAGCATCAGAAACTGTAGTCTTGTTATATTTTTTTTCTTTTGTAAATCTATAAGATAAGACTTTGGGACAGTCCCTTAAAAAAGTGGTTAACAGATAGAAATCTGTGAATAAAGATTCTTGGTACCATTAAATGCATGATTCCACAATATGTTTCAGTTTGTATTGCTAGTTTATGGATTCAGATATTTCCTAAGTGTGAAAACAGTGAAGGTAAAAGGAATTATACATATATACTTTACATATACTGTATGTGTACATTACATGTATGATTTTTTTCCAGATGAAATCCAGGAGAGTAAGATGGATTGAAGACAAGTTAGATGCTTTATCACTCTCAGAATTATTCCTGCCAGAGGAGCTTGCGCCATAAGTGATATGTACAGTGTAAATATGCATTTAAGAGGATGACATGACAATTCACCATCATAAGATTTTGAACTGATCCATCTCCTTCTTACAAATAATTTTGTGCTTTTACCTCTTTTTTTTATCTACACATTTAGCCTAGGACTGGACAGCCTTTTCTTTTTTGTGGTGTCACCAGATCTTCCTGATAATGTATTTAAATAACAGCATGAATATGGTGCACACAATGGGGTCTGGTCCCAGTTAATGGCTGTGAGATTATCATCATAGTACAGGATTGATATTAGTGGCCATATCCCTAGTCTTGGAATGTTCTTGTATCAAGAATAAACTTTCTGCAAATCCCAAGGGGCTGTTGGATATTGTGTATCTGTACCTGAATATAAATTTCTGCTATCCCATGTGTGGATTAGCAGCTTTTAGAAAAGTTATTTATATCTGGTATTTGATATTTTATTTACCTCATTGATAGAATACTACAGAAGATGGCATTACTATTTTATGTCTGTTTTTTTTTTTTTTTTTTTTATCTTTCTTTATTGTCAAAATAATACCAGTGACTACTACACTATGTGACTCCTGCCGGATATTTGAATTAAATATTTATCGTTCATGTATGTTAGTATAGTGTCTATCTCAGTCTATGAGATATCTTGTATGTGTGTATATATCTGTTTGCAGGAGCAATACAATTGTATTTTTGTTTGAATTGTATTTGAATACACATTTGAAGTATTTGTATTTGTATTTTGCCATCCAGCAGAGAAAGTATTTCATAATTATATTTGTATTTCAAGTCACTAACAGAGGGAGGGAGAGAGAACTAAACCAATGGACTGTATTCTACCCTGTTAAAAACATATATCACTCCTGTCTGGCTTTCCCATTTTCGGCAATGCCCATTGAGTGTGACAGTTTCTTTGTCAGCAGTCTAGAGGGGTTGAATTGTCAACTCATCATTGCTTTGCCAGTTATTGTATTTGTATCTAATTTTACATTATTCCAGAGAGAGAGAGAGAGAGAAAGAGAGAGAGTGAGTGAGTGAGTAAGTAAGTAAGTAAGTAAGTAAGTAAGTAAGAGAGAGAGAGAGAGAGAGAGAGAGAGAGAGAGAGAGAGAGAGAGAGAGAGAGAGAGAGAGAGAGAGAGAGAGAGAGAGAGAGAGAGAGAGAAAGAATGAGAAAGAATGAGACTGAGAATGAGAAAAAGAGAGAGAGAGAAAGAGAGAGAAAGAGAGAGAGAGAGAAAGAGAGAGAGAAAGAGAGAGATAAAGAGAGAGAGATAAAGAGAGAGAGATAAAGAGAGAGATAAAGAGAGAGATAAAGAGAGAGAGATAAAGAGAGAGAGATAAAGAGAGAGAGATAAAGAGAGAGAGAGAGAGAGAGAGAGAGAGAGAGAGAGAGAGAGAGAGAGAGAGAGAGAGAGAGAGAGAGAGAGAGAGAGAGAATGAGACTGAGAATGAGAAAAAGAGAGAGAGAGTGAGTGAGTGAGTGTTGTGTGTGTGTGTGTGTGTGTGTGTGTGTGTGTGTGTGTGTGTGTGTGTGTGTGTGTGTGTGTGTGTGTGTGTGTGTGTGTGTGTGTGTGTG